ACTGTGTAGATACACGAACTCAACCCCCCAAGAACAGGCGTATAGACCGTTAAGTATTCACAAGAGTGAATATTCATGAGTCTTTTGCAATGAAATGTTTAACCATTATGCTTCATCAGGAATTGAAATCTTTTAAGCCAGTGTTTTTCTCTTACAGCACCCTAGAACAAAACATCCTATTCTCATTTTATCAAAATTCAATTCAGCCCAATTCTACAGGTTGAATTATATGATTTCCCTGTATCATGTTCTCCTGGAAAGAGCAGACGTCAAGCAACAAGATATATACATTCACCAGACTTCTGGGTCTCCGTTACATGGTGAAGATTGAAACAGGTCATTGTGCCCACGATGAGAGTTGCCAAAGGGGAAATGTAGGTCAGGGTGGCTGTGTGTGGTTGGACAGGTTGGGCAGGTTGTACAGTGCACAGAGACTCCACTATCTGAGGAGGCACCACACTACATCTCAGACCTTGTTGATTTGTATAATTCCCAGGACAATTTTCTGACAGATGGCACCAGAGTGTCCTGCTCTAATAAAATCAATGTATTACAATAATTTGTAGACACACAGAAATAAACACTCAGAGGCACAGAACTGAAAAATGTCATTGAAAGGCTGCCTTTCCAAAATTCACACAGATAAGAGGAAGGCCTGTGTAGGATATGGCCTGTTTAACTTAGTTTAGAAGCTAGGAAAAGCCTCCTGAGGAAGATGGTTTACCTGAGGCAAGAAGTATCAGCAGTAGTTTAAAATTTTATTATAAACTCCACAGAATATCCAACTTAATTTCCTTTTACTGGATTTCTGGTATAATAAATAGTTTCCCAGAAAACATATTCTCAAATCACAATTTGATCTGAAAAACATCTGCCATTTGGCCTCTCTGTAGTTAATTAGCAAGTGAACAAAAGTGCTATGAAGCCCGAACAAAAAGATGGAAAATTGCACACACGTCTATTAATAGATTGTTATGCTTTTCCTCTGACAAACTCCTGTGTCTGTTTTTTAAAATGTGCTTTGTCTTAGTAGGTTATTTGGAAATCCTGGTATTTCCCAACATGTTACAGTAGGGAATGCACGGAGGAGTTGAAAGTTAATGGCTGCTTAATGGCTGAACAAATGAGCTGTGAGGATCCCACTTTTCTGCTCCCTTGTAAATTAACCATCCAATGGGCAAGAACAATGAAAAGCATTTCTTGAATTGGTCCATCCATTTTAGAGAAATTAACCAACAGCCATCTCCAGGGGCATGGAAGTATACTCCATTATAAAGAATAATGTAGTTTGTTTTTACATAATAATAATTACAAATCACAGTGACAATAGCTAGTGTTGTCATTACGTCAAATACTGTACTGTGTATCCAACACTGCTCTCACTTAGGTCCTTGTGTTTACTCAGTTCTTTTCCACAGTGACCTCTCAGATAGAAACTATTTTTGTTCCCATTCTACAGAGTAGGGATCTGAGGCATAAATTGGTTTTAACAACTAGCCCCAGGTCACAGAGCTTGCCAATGGCAGAACTGAGATTTGAACCCTAGCAGTGCATCCCTAAAGTTTGTGCTCTTGACCATTCTGTGGCCCTGGTTTATTGGAGGGAGTATCCAGCCTAGGCTCTAGATGAAATTGAAAAGCATTAATTAACGGAAACACAAACACGAATCAACGTCTAGCATTAACCCCATACTGCTAGAATAAATAGCACTTTACTCAGAATAAGCTTTTGGACCTATTATTCATGGAGAAAGACCTTCAGTGAGAAAAGTAAAGTAAAATGAAAAGATGGCACAGGGACACAAAAGCTCTGCTGCTCTCTCTCAAAAAGCTGGACCCGAGCCTGGCCATTCGGGCTCGCCTATGCACTGAGATTATTCCCTGGTGTACAATCTCCACGGCCAGGCACAGGCTGCATCTCCGGCATGATGCGACTGCTTGTGAGCATTGTCTTCAGAATTCCCTAAAGGGTTTTCTGCAGAGCTGTTGTCCCCTGAGATGCTTCCTATAAAAACACCTGCAGTGGATAGGTTTTGGAGGCCTGGCCTACAACATCTGCCTCTGAAAGATTCACAGTGAGCATGGGCCCGTCCCGGGCTGCAGGAAGCCCCATGCTAAGGAAATTTGTGTAATCTTTTAAATCATAAACTGCAGAAATCTATTTGATTTTGGAATTCTTTGCTTCTCAGAATACCTATGATCTACCTATAAAACTAGTGTTTGGGAAATGCAGCCTGAAGCCGAGCATGTCAGTGAGGAACAGGAGGATACACAGAGAGAGGGGGAAAAAGAATGAGGAGGAGGATGGTTCAAGGTGGGAAAATGTGGGTGGAGAGCAAACTGAAAGCCTCCCCCCCCATATATATATATATATATATATAGCACGGGAATTTTGATTATGTAAGACAAAATAGCAGGCCTGACTCATTAGCAATCGTATGTGTAGTAAGCCTAGGACACATGTTGGCCTGTACAGTGTCTCCTAACTTCTGAAAAGGGAAAAGGGAGCACAGTGTGTTGGTATGAACCAGACCACCTAAGAAGAGGAAAGATGATGAAAGTCTTAAGGGACTTAACATACTAGCACTTAGGGCTAAAACTATCATAATGTTCTGGATTTTAATTGTCTTTTTTTTTTTTTTTTCAAAACAACCAAGGACAGAAGAAAAATCAGAAAAAGGCACGCAATTTCCCATGCAGCATTGCAATAGATAGTTATCTTTTTTTTTTTTTTTTTCTTAATTCAAAGGGAGGTTTGATTCCTTTCATAAAACGCCCAAGTGATAATACGGGGAAAAAAGTTCTAGCATCGAAAAGTAGAGATTTTCTGCCTCATCTTTTAGACACAGCCAAAGATATACCTGTTTTGAAAACACCTTACCCTTCACCTGGAGTTCTGTAAGAGTTTCTAGAATCTTTAGAAAGAATCTCCGGGTAACAGGGAGTTGTTCTAGGGAAAGTCCTCCATTGCCAGCAGTCCTGTACCCGCCCACGTCGCTTTGTAAGAACCTAAATTCACCTCGGGAGTGCTGTGGGAATGCTATTTATGAGCATATATTACTGTTTGCAAAGATTGTAAAGTAGGAAATGATTTGTGTTAGAGGCTGTAAGTTCATTTCTTTGAATCACGTTAGATGGGCAGAGAGGGAGGCAGCTAAAAATATTCTGAAGCTGAAATATTAATCTCGGCGCTAACAGCACACAAAGAAAACCGATCTGCAGCATGAAGAAAGGCCCAGCTGTGAAAGCAGTGGGCTCCAGGCTGGGAGGTGGGGGCGCTGGCCTGGCAGGGGACTGGGGGGAACAGGACGCTCTTTCTGAGCGGAAGGTTGGGAAACTCAAGCTTCCAGTTATTAATAAGAGCCTGGAGCAAGTCATGCCCGGATGAGCAGATGCACAGGCAGCTCCATGGAGGGTCTGTGAGGGGGTGCCCTGCTGGCCCTGAAGCTCTGGAAACTTCCCAATTCTCACCTCAGGCCCCACAAGGCCTGGCTATATTTCATTTCTATGAAATCTTACAATATTTACATCAACATTCCCCCTTTGTCTGAGAGAGCTAGAGTAGCTCCCTTTCTCTTACATCCTCCCCAAAAAAACGTTTCCCAGGGCTGGGAGACAGAGATACACGGAGAATTTCAATACAATGTAGTGCACTCGCCCCTCCCCCAGCTAGCTACCTGATACGCATGTTTTTCTTTGGCTATTTCATGGAAACGGAGCATAAAACAGAATAGAAACAAAACTAAAGATCAGCTCTCTGTGCACGGTCATTGTAAAGAATAACACACGTTCAGAACAACTGGAGTCTGTAGAGATAAGCTGGCAATATAATTAGATCTTTTATGTGTTATTTCTCACATTTGGAGAAGAAAAGTAATCTAGAATGTTCATGTACATGTTATGCACACTAAATAGAAAACAAAGTTCACCCAATTTGCTCACTTTATCAGAATGTTAAAAATGGTTATTACATAAATTGCGTGCCCCTTCTGGGTAGTAACAGTATAGCTACTGTAAGTAAGCAATTTCTAGAAAGCAAAATGAGTGTTTTTTGCTAAATAGTCTATCATATATCATGAAAGTATTTTAAATAAAATATCCTAAATGATTAAGAAGAGGAAACTACTTTCAAAATAAAATTCTCCTTGAATATACACTGTTTCAGTTTAAACTGTGCTTTCAAGAATATCATAATTTTTTTGAAAAAAATTAAAATTGGGATATGTAAACACAAGATATACTTGATCTAATTGTTAACAGATAATGACTATCAACCTGTTTCTATTTCAATGAAGGTTCTAAATTCATAGAAATTTAGAAACATGCTGTTTCCATAGCAGCAGATAAAGAGTAAAACCAAAAAGATTTTATTGATTTTAACAGAGCTTAGAGAATTTGTTCTCCTTTGTAGCTGTGATTTTTGCTTTTTTTGTTGTTGTTGTTATTTGTCTTTAGCAACATCTCATTTTCTCTTTTCCAAATGTATTTAGTAAATTACATAAATTTTTAATATAGGTAATTGTGACATTACTATAAAATTATACATTCTTATAGTAATGTAGAATAACCAATATTTAATTCTTCATGTCAGAGAGATGCTAAACTATGGAGTCAGGATCAGGCATCAAAGACTCCACATGTAATATCAGCTTAATATATGAATAAAACATTGTATTACAAATGTTCTTAGATAATTCATTAATGATTAAAAGCACAGTATAACATTTTCTGTTACTGTAGATTTGTTGAGAATCAGACACTGGGAATCAGGCTTTTAAATGTAAGTGTTAGAATTACAAAATGTGAGTTTCTTTGTGGTTAATGTGGCAACGTGACAGTGAGTAATGGAAATTAGTAGCATAATTTTCCATGTTAACATGCTAAGAAAACAGGGAATAGGCTTTCTTCTTTCGTGCATTTATTGTTTCAGTTGTATGTTTTTCTCCAGTTATTCTGCTCTCTTGAAATTTCCATTTGTCAAAACTCAGAACAGTGGCTCACCTGTAACAGACATGCAGCCTAACGGGGCGATGAGAGTGATGGGGGCAAATCCATAGGCTGCAAAGTTCCCCGTCTCTCCCACGGCCATCAGTAGGATTCCAGCCCACCACAGCACGCTCTTGAAGTATGGCCTCGGGTACTCTTGTTGTGCCAACTGAAGATGAGAATATTTCTGGAAGTAAATCAGAACATAAATAAGAAAATATTTCCACTCAATTAAAACTTGTCTTGAAAGTTTTGGTCCTATAAATCTGCATCGTGGCTTTTAAATTCATCCTAAAATTAATGGAGATTATTACAGAACAATTATTATGGTCTCCTGTTTGCTCCATACATATTAACAGTAGAAGCAGCTCATGTTTATATAGTATTAGTTTAAAAAACCTTTTTACATATGACTGTTGCTTAATTCTCATAATAGCTCTGCAAAATAAGGGCCATTATTACTATTTAAAGATGAGATGCATGTTAAGGAGTTAAGTGACTTTCTAGTTCACTACACCAAAACATTTACCTTACAATGTCAAAGAACTACAGATGCCAAAATAAACATTAGTGAAATAAAGATAATAAATTACTGAAGAGAAACTTTTTGAAAGGGATTCGTATTTATGGATCAAAGTACCTACCACTATAAACATAGCAGAGCGGAGTGCTTTGGTAGCTGGGAGTCAGGGGTGACTCTTACTTATATGTGGTTTGAGTTTTCTTTGTATTTGAAATATGTAAATACCCGAAAAACTGGCCAGTAAAGGAAGCCCTATTTCTCTAATGTCTTTATGGTAACTAAACATACTTCCTGATAAGAAGTAGAAACATTCCCAACTCCTGTTCAGATTAAAAAAAAAAAAAAAAAAAAAAGAAGTAGAAACAATTCCAGATTACTTAACTTTCTTTTAAAAAAATGATGAAAATACTAGAGGAAAACATGAAACATTAAAAACAAAATCTTGGCATAAGGAATACCTTTCTAAGTATAGTACAAAGTCATAAGCCAGAAAAGCCGAAACTGACAGATCTTACCATATTTAAAAAACTGTACAGAGAAAATACTACAAAAAAATTAAAACATAAACAATAGAGCAGAGTGGGAGAAAATATTTGCAATATATATAATGACAAAGGGTTATGGCTAATATAAAGAGAATTTTCTACAAGTAAATAAGAAAACAGTCAGACTTCAAGAGATATTATATAAAGGATATTAAATAGTAACTATTACAAGTAAAATTATAAGAAAAAATTCTCAACCTAATGAATAACCAAAGAAATGCAAAGGATTTAAATAATGAAATACTATTTTCATCTATCTGATGTCTTTCCCTCTTCTCACCAAATAATTGATAATATATGGCACTGAGGATATGGGACAATGGTCACTGTCAAACACTGCTAGTGTATCACATGGCACTATCCATGTAGACATCAATTTGGATGAACTTAGCAATATTAAAAAGGAATACACCTTTTGATCTACAGCATGCTCACACAAGCATGCAAAGTATATATACTTTTATATAAATATATATAGATATTCATTTCATTATTTGTAGTAGCAGAAAACAAGCTCTATCTCCTGCATTAAGACATGGTTATATTCCAGCACTCTTCATGGTCCAAAAAAACAAAAAAGGGGATAATTACATACATTTTGGAACATCCCCTCAATATATGTGTGCTGCTTATACACAGAAATCAATTTGGGGAAAAAATGCATAATTAACGGTGGTTACTTCTGAGAAACGAGGGGAATTTTACTTTTTTCTTTTGTAGTCTTTGAATTCCTTTTGAAAAGACAATGATTTAGTTTTGTCCTATTTTCAGTAATAAATACATTTCTTTTTTAAAATATTTATTTTTTAATTTAATTTTATTTTTTTATGTGGTCTTCCAGTAAGGACTGGAAAAACTGCTAGACAAATTCCAAAAGAGCTATAACACTATTTCTTAGAAATTATTGAAAATTATACTAGGTAATTTTCTACCAAGGATTGGTATAAAATAATACAGTAGTCACCCCTTATCTGTGGTTTCACTTTCTGTGGTTTCAGTTACTCAAAATTCCAGAGATAAATAATTTGTAAGTTTTAAATTTCATGCCGTTCTGAGCAGTGTGAGACATCTCATGCCATCCTGCTCCGTCCTGCCTGGGATATGAATTCCCCCTTCGTCCCACATATCCACACTGTGGCCAGGAGCCCCTTAGTCACTTAGTAGCTGTCTCAGTTATCGTATTGGCTGTCTTGGTATAATGGTGCTTGTATTCCAATAACCCTTATTTTACTCAATTGTTCTATTTTATTATTAGTTACTGTTGTTAATCTCTTACTGTGCCTAATTTATAAATTAAACTTCATCATAGGTTTAATGTATGTATACGAAAACACATAGTATATACTGTATAGGATTTGGTACTATTGTGAGTTTCAGGCATCCACTGGGGATCTTGGGACATGCCCCGAGGATAAAAGGGGACTACCACGTAACATTCTGGGAGATACTGTGATATTCAGGTTTATTTTGATTGATTGAATAGTTTTAGAAACTACATTGGTGATTCTGTTTCAAACTGCTTCATTAGGTGATTTAAAATTTTTGATTTAATTCATTATTTTGTTTAATATTGCATTCAGTTTTTAATGTGGCAAATCAGCAATTCATTCAGGTTTCTAACCCATGGTTCAGTTAAAGTTCCTACTTTATATTCTACATTCTTTCTTTAAGACCTTTAGAATACACTGACATATCTAGCAGTATTTTAAAGAAAGGAAAGAACTCAACTCTTTTGAACTGCTTCTAAAAACTATTTGTATCCCTTCTGGGGGTGAAGGCTATGAAAGAAATCAAAATGCTATAAATCAAACGGGGTGATTTATTCATTAGATACACTAGGCACCTTGCCTATGGGCTCAAAAAAAATTTAATTTCTTTTAAAATCAGAAGAAAAAGAAAAAAAAATGAATGCAATCCAGCCTGGATTATATTTGTTTTTATACAAATGAGGTTGTAAAGTATAATGTTTATGGAGGAAGGAGACACAAAGGCAAAAATGGCCAAGGCCCATAAAGTCATCATTTGTCCCTGGACCAAACTATAGAGTTAGAAAAGTAAGCTTTTCCTTACCTGAATATTTAGGGAAATGCTGATTATCAAGTTTCCTAAAATGGCCAGCAAAACTCCCAAAAGGTGAATCTGTAAAAGAAAATGTTTCCTTTAAATGATACTTTAAATATTAATAGTACTTGTACTGAAAAAAAAAGGCAAATTAGGTTGATATATTCATTCATTCATTTGTGCATTCATTCAGTTTTACTTAGCACCCATTTGCCAGGGTAGGTTTGAGAGATGAATATGCTCCCATTATGATTAGTTTTTCCCTTTGTCAAATATTATTCTTTAGAAATCACTTGGTCCTTTCCTAATTTCTCTAGATATTTGTCTGCCTCATTCACTAAAATAAAGAAAATAGTTATCAGGTTCTGACTTTTCCCCACAAAGATGCTGCTTCTTATTCATCCTTTCTGTCCATTTTCTTTTCTCTTAATATCTTCTGGAGGAGAGTGGTATGAGAGAAAGATCATTGGAGGTAAAGGATAGGTCTGAGACAGAGAGCTGCTATTTTCTAAGTTGGTGATCTTAAGCAAATCATTTCACTTCCCTGGCCTCAGTAGAAAGGGTATGTTGGATAAGATGTTTCCAGAAATCCCTTTACCTCTAAAGTCCTGTGATCTCCCTGGAAATAGACTAAATTTTCCTACTGCTCCCCTGGCTAGGCACCTACACTGTCTCCCTATAGTCAACCATATCGAACACGAGACTATTATGCCAGCTCCCCACAATTCGTCCTCACCCAGCCATCTAACCATCCATGGCACATTTAGTGTGCTCCCTCCGTCTCAGGTAACCAGCACACATCGTCCTCCCATGAGATGCGACACTTGCTCATGCCACTCGGTTCTTTCCTCAGCCTGTCCAATCAGCCCTCGCCCTCCTGGCCTGCAGAGGCCCAGCTCCTGGAGACCTTCTCGGACCACCTCAGCCCATATTTACTTTCTCAGACTCTAAATGGTAAACCTCCCATATTGCTTGTGATATTGCCCTGTGTGTGGTTAGGCTCTACAAATAGAAGGCAAATTCTCTGAGGGAAGAGGACTAAGCCTTCTGCTTCTTCTTGTTTGGTCTTCTACATCATCTACTATATAAAATTAGGGATTTAGGCCGGGCGCTGTGGCTCACGCCTGTAATCCTAGCTCTTGGGAGGCCGAGGCGGGCGGATTGCTCAAGGTCAGGAGTTCAAAACCAGCCTGAGCAAGAGCGAGACCCTGTCTCTACTATAAATAGAAAGAAATTAATTGGCCAACTGATATATATATAAAAAATTAGCCGGGCATGGTGGCGCATGCCTGTAGTCCCAGCTACCCGGGAGGCTGAGGCAGAAGGATCACTCGAGCCCAGGAGTTTGAGGTTGCTGTGAGCTAGGCTGACGCCATGGCACTCACTCTAGCCTGGACAACAAAGCGAGACTCTGTCTCAAAAAAAAAAAAAAAATTAGGGATTTAATAAACACCTGCTTGAAAAAGTATATAATGGTCTAAAATAAGAACTACAGAGGTTAAAAAATATGTTCTTACATGTTGCCTAAGATGTTTCTCATAGATAGCTCATGTATTATTTGATGATTTCAAAACATGCATTTACTGCTCCCATCTCGGTCCAAAGGTATAATATTTTCTAGTAGTATAAATTAGCTACTAATTATTAGCTATACTATTTATTATTTATATAAATATACTAAATATATATACTATATATATTTATATACTATAAATAGCTATACTATCTATTATATTATTAGCTATTACTATTTATATTAGCTATAAATTAGCTGATATAAAGGGTCTTCCTCCTCTACTCTACAGTACATAACTTTTAGTTAGCTTCAAATTCCAAGGAGTTATTTGAATTTCAAATGGATATTGCAACCACAAAGAACCTTTTCCAGAATGCAAAATGTCTTTGAAGTTTTAGAGCTTTATTATATGTGCTGAAGTGAAATTCAGGATTTTTAAAAATGAAGCAGAAAAGTTGAAAACTTATTTTATAGTTGATATATAATATGCACAGTCTTTAATCAGTTAAGAATTTTCTTTTCCTAATAAAGGCACTTGGCAATAATTTTGATCAGTATTCCTCATGAGGAAACAATTGTATCACAATACAATATGCTATTTCCATCCTTTCTATTTACAATTTGATGCACTTGGCTGTAATCAGGAAAATAAAGATTCAGAAGAAATTTGGCATTGAGTGGATATTTATGAAAATCTCCCATAATTATAAAAGTAAGTTGTTGAATAGAAACAACTTACTTTAACATTCTTTAAGTCATTCACTGAGCATTTTAAATGGCATCAAGCTGGATATTTAAAAATTGGTGGCAGGATTTGGCAATGATTTCTTGGATATGATACCAAAGCACAGGCAACAAAAGAAAAAATAGATAAATTGTACTTTATTGAGATTAAAAACTCTCATGCATCAAAGCACACTATCAAAAGACCAAAAATGCAACCCACAGAATGGTAAAAAATATTTGCAAATCATATGTCTGATTAGGCATTGATATCCAGAATACTTAAAGAATGCCTATAACTCAACATGAAAAATAAGCCACCTGATTAAAAATTGGACAAAGGACTTGAATAGACATTTCTCTAAAGACAATATACAAATGGCCAATAAACACATGAAAAGATACACAATATCACTACTCATAATACTGTGAGTGATACTGTGATATTGTGATACTCACAATATCACAATATCACTACTCAAATCAAAACCACCATGAGTTGCCACTTCACCTTCATTAGGATGGCTGTAATTTTAACAACAACAACAATAACAACAAAACACAAAATAACAAGTATTGGTGAGAACATAGATAAATGGGAACACTGGTGCATAGCTGGTGGGAATGTAAAATGGTGCAGCCAGTGGAAAGTGGTATGGAGGTTCCTCAAAAAATTAAACTCAGAATTACCATATGATCAATTACCATACGATCTAGCAATTCCACCTATGCTTATTTATCTAAAAGAACTGAAAGCAAAGACATGAATTTGTATACTCATGTTCATAGCACTATTATTCATACGAGGCAAAAGATGAAAGCAACCCAAGTATCCATCAAGAGATGAATAAACCAAATGTGGTACATGCATACAATGGAATATTATTCAGCCTTAAAAGGAAGGAAATTTTGATATATAACATGGATGAACCTTGAGGCTATTATGCTAAATGGGTTTTGTGCCACAGAAGTGTACACTTAAACGTGGTTAAAATGGTAAAATTTTATATTATGTGTATTCTATCACAATGGAAAAAAATTAATGGTGGAGGAAGTCAGAGTGTGCTTTGACTGGAAGAAGTAAGGAAAAGCTCACTTGCTACACAATAGCTCCTTGGCCCAGGGTTAAAAGTCAGCATTATGCTGTCATTCCTTTAATTTAAATATTTTCCTATCACAGTATTTTTTTTCCTAAAGCATATATTCCTGGAAAGGTATAAACTATTAAATTATTAATATCTTAATATAAATGTGCCAGAGAAATTAATCAAAAGCTAAGTATGGTAGATTGCAAAAATGAGCACAATTCTTCACTCCTCCCTACATCCATACCCTTGGCCCAGGTAGCCTTCCTTGTACATCCTCCCATTATAAGGTACAACCTATGTCCCTACCCCTTGAATTCAGGCTGGTCAGTGACTACAAACGCAGTGAAGGTGTGTGAGTTCCAGGACGAGGCCTCAAAAGGCACCACCTGCTTATTCTTTTAGAAAGTTCTTGAGAACAAGCCCAGGCTAGTCTGTTAGATGATGACAGATGGGGACCCAAGAAACCCTGCTGGCCTAGTGTCTATGGCCTAACCAACAGTCATTCAATGGCCAACCCGAGAGGGAGGCCATGCCTAGACCTGCCAGCTCCTGGCTGACATACCAGCTGACTGCAGAGGTGTGAGTGAGCCCAGCTGAACTCAGCCAGTCCTGACCACATATAAAATATTCTTATAAATACTAACTTAAAACTACTAAATTAAACATTTTTTAAATATGTTGTAGAATTAGCATTTTATTTCTGCAGCATTTTATTTCTTTTTCTTAGGAAATAACTTACAGATTTAGGTAGAACTAGAGGGGATATTCTATATTCCCTAATCAGCAATACCAATCATGCTATCTTATTAGCTTTTTGTTTATTTATTTATTTGTATATTTTTAGAGACAGGGTCTCGCTGTGTTGCCCAGGCTGGAGTGCAGTGGTGCAATTACAGTTCACTGCAGCCTTGAACTTCTGAGCTCAAGTGATCCTCCTGCCTCAACTTCCTGAGCAGCTAGGACTTTAGGGGCATACCACCACACTTAGCTAATTTTTAAAACTTTTTGTGTAGAGATGGGGTCTTGCTATATTGCTCAGGCTGGCCTCAAACTCTTGGCCTCGAGAGATCCTCCTGCCTTAGCTTCCCAAAGCACTGGGATTACAAGTGTGAACCACCATGCCTGGCCAATTTTAACTTTTTAAACCATCACTATAGGGTTAAAAGAGCTCACATTATAATATTTCCTTTCCTACTATTTTCCTCATAACTTTATGGATTATGATAACAGCTATTCATATTTCAAAATGGCCTGGATATAAAATTTACTTTATTGTTCCTGAAGTTAGAATTAACTATAAAGTTTGTTACCTCCTCATTCCCTGGAATATACATGAGGCAAAAATTTAGAGATTTAAAATTAGCCATACACGCGTTCCTCCCAACTGAATAATAGTTGTCAAAATCATGTGGGAGTTCAATTTTACATCCCAAGAAACTACAAAAGGAAGACTGTCCTTTTTTCAGTCTAAGTCTAGTTCTGAATATGATAATTAACAAAAGTAGGAACAACCATAAACTACATCTGAGTGAATCAGATGTATTTAAATTACTAAGCAGAAACTAGCAGGCAATGAGATATTTGAATATGCATGATTTCTTTTCACAAAGAATGTGAAAACAGGTATCACCTTAGTTGAGTCCTTCCTAGCTTTTCTCACCTATCAAGGGATACCCTATACATGTTTCTCCCTGCACACTTAAGATGGACTCCTTTTGTATTATATGTGTGTCTTTATTAACACAATAAAA